GCAGTGCCCCGGAGCCTCGGGCGCGCCCTGAGCGGATCGGGTTTCAACCAGAAAGACCGCAGCTAGAAAGGTCGGAGCAACCTTCCTACTCCGCTGCCGCTCCGGGCCTGTGAGGAACTGCGCGTGCGCGCTGCCTGCAGGCGGTCGGGGGCGTGTCCTCGGCCGAGCACCTCCCGCAATGGGCGGGGCGGGAATAGACACTGGACGCAGCGAATGGGAGGGGAGGACGCGGCGCCGCGGGCGGGGCCTGGCCTCGCGGGCTCTGCTGGGGCGTCTCCACTTGCCCTCTTCTGGCTTCCGCTGCTTTACCGCCGTGTCCCGCGGAGCAGGGCGCCTTCCCGCCTCAGTGTAGGGTAAAGGCTTCGAGTGTGAGCCACTTGTGTTGGAAACGACGTTGCTTTCCTCTCAACAGTTGGAAAGGTTAAGTCAAAAGCTAGTTTTGCAACGCAGGGCACACAGGTACCCCCAGGGAGGCTGGGGTAACTCTACAAAAACTAGGATCCCAGTGAGGGACTGGATATGGGGAGGGGGAGGGATCCAGGGACATTTCGGCGATTAGAATGTAAGCGGTTTTATTAAACAAGAGCTGCAATTGTCTGTGTAAGGATTGAGAACGAAAATGAAACACACACTCCCTGGTCGAAGAGGCAGTCTCATAAGGGCAGCCAGCAGCGCTTCCTTTTCTATTCCCCATTCACTAGGGAGGCCAAGACTCAACAGGGCTCAATTCCAGAGTCCTTCAGAGGGACACGACCTGGGATGTGATGCGTGGACGACTAAGACGTGATCATTTAGGACAAGAAGCATTGCTTTAAAAAGAGAAGTAACTTTGAAAAAATTATTATAAATTGCGATGTTAAAATAAATGTTGTCCTGTACCACACTGGAGATAAATTATTTTGAAATACCTGAGATAAACGTCTTCGCATCATACATCAATTATATCTAAATATTACGTAATTTCAAACACACTAATGTCATCCTGATATTTTTCAAAAATATGGACAATATTCACATTCAAAAGCACAGGGTTCAGCATGTAAGTATGAGTTGTGGGCTAAATACTGTGATAAATATGAAATATTCACCAAATTGTGGTGTTATTGCATTAGAAAAATTCTAAACTACTGATTGGAACCTACAAAGCCTTGCATAGCTGATGTGGGAAGGGGAAGAGCATGAGATGCTGTAGCCATAGCACTTCAAAGGAGAATGGATGTGATGTCTCTAGCTGAGAATACAAATGAAGAGAAAGAAACAGGAAAAAGGAAATGAAACAGAGACTTGATTTTCCTGAGGTCAGCTGGTAGTGCAGCCTGGGAATGCTGTGATCTCTCCACACGCAGATTTCATACCAATTCAGCATCCTGGTTATTATTCATCTCCTACTTGGTACTACAACATCACTGCTATTGGAATATTCCTCTTAATTATAGAGGATTTATTACAGAGATAGCACTGTCCTGTGTGTTTGTTCACTTCATGTAAATATAAAATCAACACACTGAAGTATGATGTCATGTTTTCAGCTGAACACATTGGCAGAGAAGTGAAAATAATTTTGATAACATCACTGACACAAAGCAAGTATTATTTTAAAATGTTGATAAAACAGTGTTATTTCCTAATACAGGGAAAAATAAAATGTGCTAAACAAAATTAAACTTCAGTGCTCGCTATGAAATTACCTCCACTTTCCGGGTGATTTCTCTATATCACTAAATTCTGTAAAAAACATTCTTAAAATCGCTGAGCAAAATATATGAACATTATTTCATGACCTATGAAACAAGGAAAATTTATGGTTGGTTTTACATGAAACAGAGGAATGTAAAGACAACAACTTCAATGTGAGTTTCTCAAACCAAGAGCCAAGAGTTTGGGGGGAGAAAAATGTACAGAAATGCAATGTACAGAAATCCATTTATATTCTAAATCTGTGAGGTTTCTAGTTGGCTATTAAGTAATCAAATGTTTAAATTACATATTTCAATCCATTATGTTCCTATCCTTCTGAAAACATGTGTACACACATACACATTTCTTTCTTCTTCAATCCTCTTATTCCTACACTGTATCTTTAAGTTACTATATGTACATATTTCACTTCTGTGTATCAAACCATGTATTTTGTTTATGTAGGCTCAGGAAAAAAATATGTGAAAAAATATCTAGGCTCCAAAGTTAAAAAGAATTTCCTAATTATACTAGTTTGGACTTTGTTAAATTAGTAGCATTTGTTAAGCAGAGTACTTGGTATTGGATGGTGTGCAGCAGTTACACAAGACTACAAGGGAAATTGAAAGAGACAAGTCATGTAAGGAACTTATATTTACTTGTGCCTCTGTGAGCTGTTGTCTAGTACACACAATTCCAGGAGGGGATAGTAGCAGTTCAAGGCACGTAGCAACAGAAAATAAATGCCATGCAGCAATATCATGATGTAGCTCAGCTGAAATCTCAAAAAGCCTGAGGCCATCTCTATTGTAACTATCATAATGTCTCAGTAGGCACAATAATAAGAAAAATATAAAAATTATGGAGAAATCTTCACATCATTTAATGTTTAAGGCCACTGGGAAAATGGACTGCTAATGAAGTAATTGCATTGCATTAACAAACAGTATAATGTTACCTATAACCTTGAATAAGGTTGGATACGTGAACACATTCAAACTCATTCGGCTTTGTTAATGAAAATAATATTAAGTTCACACATAGTCTAAATCAAGCATGACTAAACCTCTGTGTGATTATTTGTCAAAATACACATGACAGACTTTCAAGATGGGTTTCTGTTCTTGTGACATAATGACTGAGAGCTGTGCTTTTGTTGGTTCTCAGAATGGAAGTTATTTAGTATACATGGATGTACAATAATTTCATGCTCTTAGAAATGAGTTGCCTATACTTTCTCAGATATCCCTGATCTCGTTTTTGTTTCAACCACATCAACTAATGTTCATCACTTCTACATATGGCTACTATGAAGCTATATCAGGATTTTAATAAACTGCTCCAATATGTTCCTTAAACAGTAACTGGTAAAAGTACTTAAAATTCACAATGTTCCACTGTCATAAACTAATGCAAAAAAAGGTGCTCTTCACGGTGACATGCAATAACATTTTAAGTCAACCACAAACACTATCTCTGTTTAGATTTTCTTCGTGCATTACAATGTCCTCAATCGTGCATGGAAAGTTAAATGAAACCCACCAGCTCACAGATCTTTAAAAAAAGCAATATTCAACCTCATGATTTCACACACACACTAAGAATAACAACTCAGGACTATCAACTGATATGAAAGTGGAATCACATTTACATTTCCTTTTCAAAACATCTCAAATATTGTTCATAAAAAAGACGATATACTGTAACTGATTATACATATGGAAACATCCATCCCCTTGATATTCTGAAGCATAATAAAAGTACTTAACTCAGTTTTTATTTTACTTTACCTTTTTATTTTTAATCCTCACCCAAGGATATTTTTTCCATTACTTTTCAGAAAGTGGAAGGGAGAGAGAGAGAGAGAGACATCGATGTGAGAGACACATCGATTGGTTGCCTCCCACACGTGCCCCAACTAGGGCTGGGGATCGAGCCTGCAACCGAGGTACGTGCTGTTGGCCGGAATCGAACCCAGGACGCTTCAGTCCAAGGGCTAAACCTCTAACAACTGAGCAAAACTGTCTAGAATCCTTTGCCAAATTCTTTACCTTTGTTAGTCCTCTGCCCAGTATTAATTATCAGGCGCTGAGTAAGATCTGAATGAAGATAAATATTTGAGAACATGTGTTATATTTGCAAGGCTTCATTCTCTGGTGCTCACTGAGGCTTGAACAATGGCTAAATGCTTTGCCAAATAACTTACATTTTTACTGTTACACTCCAGCATGAATTCCCCAATGTTGAGCAATTCTTGAGCACAGGTTAAAGGCCATGCCGCATTCTCTACATTTTTATGGGATTTTCTGGTTAAGATACTACTGCTGATTAAAAGCTTTGGTACCTACACTAGATTTATAAGGTTTCTCTGCAGTAGGAACTTTCTCAGGTTGAGTAAGATGACAATGGTCATTAACGGCTTTGTGACATTCTCCATATCTGTAAGGCTTCTCTCGAGACTGAATTACCTGGTATCTAGTGAGATTCCTTCTCAAGCAAAGACTTTACCATACTCCTTACAACTGTAAGAAGTTTCTCCAGTATGAACTCTCTGATGTACAGTAAATTTTGAACGCTGGGTAAAGGCTTTGTCACATTGCCTACATTTATAAGGCTTCTCTCCAGTATGAATTCTACGATGCTCAGTAAGGGCTGAGGAAGAGCTAAAGGCTTTGTCACATTCTCTACATTTATAAGGTTTCTCTCCAGTATGAATTCTCACATGTCGGGTAAAACACCACAGCTGTTTAAAGGCTTTGGCACATTTTCTACATTTATAAGGCTTCTCTCCAGTATGAATTCTCTGATGTTCAGTAAGAGTTGAGGAAGCACTAAAGGCTTTACCACATTCTCTACATTTGTAAGGTTTCTCTCCACTATGAATTCTCTCATGGCGGGTAAGACACCACTGTTGTTTAAAGGCTTTGGCACATACACTACATTTGTAAGGCTTCTCTTCAGTATGAGTTTTCTGATGGTGAATAAGTGTTGAGTGGTAGATAAAGGCTCTACCACACTCTATGCATTTGTATCGTTTCTCCCCAGTATGAACTCTTCTCTCATGTTCAGTAAGATATGAAAGCCATTTGAAGGCTTTCCCACATTCTCCACATTTGTAAGGCTTCTCTTGAGAATGAATTATCTGATGTTTAGTAAGGTATGAATGCCAAGAAAAGGCTTTTCCACACTCCATACATCTGTAAGGTTTCTCTCCACTATGAATGATCTGATGATGAATAAGTTTTGAGGAGTGATTAAAGGCTTTGCCACACTGTCCACATTTGTAAAGCTTTTCTGCAGTATACATTCTCTGATGTTGAGTAAGTCCTGAGCGCTGGCTAAAGGTTTTGCCACATTCTCTACATTTATAGGGCTTTTCTCCAGTATGAATTCTCTGATGTTCAGTAAGGTTTGAGGACTGGCTAAAGACTTTGCCACATTCTCTACATTTGTAAGGCTTCTCCCCAGTATGAATTATCTGATGTATAGTAAGACTTGAAGGCCAATTAAATGTTTTACCACATTCTTTACATTTGTAAGGTTTTCGTCTAGTGTGGCTTTTCTTATGTCTATTTAGATTGACTATATGACTGAAGACTCTCCCACACTGATTACATTTGTAAGCTTCCTCCCTGGCATGAATATTCTCTTGTTCAGTATGATTTGAAGATTGCCTAAAAGTTTTGACACATTTACTTTGTTTTTTCTTCTTCTCCACAATATGAATAATCTGATGTCTATTTTGATTTGACATTTGGTCAAAGGCTTTTCCACCTGTAAAATGGTTCTCTGGAAGTTGAGTTCTCTGATGTTTATTAGGATTTGATTCTTGGTTAAAGTTTTTCCAGTGTTCATTACACTGATAACTTCTGTCGCCATTATATGATCTCTGGTAATCATTGAAGATAGAAAGACCTTTAGTGACAGCTATAATTTCATTAAACAAGTACACTTATTCCCAAATAACTATTCTTTGATACATATTAAACCATGATGGTTGTATTAAAAAATACTACCAAGCTTATAAAAATTATAGACCTTGGAATACAAAAACATTATTTCACGGAGGAAGAAAAAGGATTCCTTGTTAAAGAGATTGCCAATTTGATTATATTTAAATTTTATATGTATTATAAATTTTTAAATTTTTAGATATGATTGACTGGAAGTTCAATCCCACCCTACATTTTATGATTATTTACATCACAGATTATGTGTTCCAAGAGGTTTCTTTCCAAGAATTTATAACATTAAAAAAAGTGTACTGGGTCTTCAATTAGAAGCACATTGATCTGCAAATGTAACTGGCTTAAAGTGAGAGTATTCTCAAATGTGAAATATCTCTTACCTCTTTAGGTTAGAGTAATTTTATTATGAATAATTGTCCCAGGTTAGCTCTGTCCATATTAACATCTTTTTTCTTGTCATACTTTCTCAAATTCCAAAGCTTTAATTAAGTGTACATTCTCAAAGCCACAGCATCCATATCTTACCAGTAGTATTTTTGAGAATAAATCTTCTATTCCTGGCTTTTGCAACAAGGCCTGATTGTCTTCAGATGACACAGCTGAAAGATATGAAATAAATTTTCAGTTATGACACTCAGGTGAATGTACCTTGAACTTACCAGCAAATATGGACCAAATTACATTTCTGAGTACTCCTAAAGCAAGTTAGAAGTCCAAAGTAAGCCCAAGAAAAGTACAGTGAGGAAAATTTATATCAGAGAAAGATGGAAAGTTGCTAATATTTGCCAACTAGAGCTGCTCAAACCCCTTGACACACAATGGCAGTATTATACGAAAACTCCCAATTCCCGGTTTCTTCTCTGGAGAGAGACATAAGGATACTGTATGTTCAATGACCTTGCTGTTTTGCAGTGTCTTGAAGAACATGTTTCTCATGAAACAGAGTGCCAGGAGAATGGCAGTACATGGTTTATGCATTGTAATGGCTTCTTAAAAAAAAACAATGGTGAGTAATTGTTTAAATATAACATAGACTGTAGCACTAAAGATAGATATCAAGGAACAAAAGATACCATGCGCTCTGAGGAAGAGACAGATAACACTTTAAATTTGGAACTTACACACACAAAAGAATAAAAAAATACACGTCTCCAAAACAGTTTTTGTTTGTTGTTTTGTTTTAGAGAGTGAAAAAGGGAGAGAGGGAGAGAGAAATATCCCAAGTATCGAACCCACAACCTAGGTATGTGCCCTGACAGGGAATCGAACCCGCAACTTCTTGGTGTACAGGATGATGCTCAAACCAACTTGGCCAGGCCATCAGGGACACAAAGCTGTTCTGACAGATACTGGCATTTCCAGCACAGGTGATTATTTGTTTTCTCCTATAGAAAGCAAGTTCATGAAGCCTGGTTGTTTAGAATTCCTGAACCTTGAAAAAAGACATCAAGAGATATCTTGATAAAAAGAGAAACAGAAAAACAGTGTCCAAAAAAAAAATCTACAGAAGTTGGTATTTCATAAATGGAAATATATTACATGAAAAAAAAATTGAAAATAACCACCTTAAAATGGAATAGTAGACAAAACTGGTAACACAGCATCAGGAAAACTGTGCATGATCAAAATAAAACTGCAACGAGAAAAAGTGTATGAAAATAATCCAAATAGAAATGGGAAGCTGAAAAACGCAGGGGGACAAGACAGGAAGAGATTAAAACAAAGAACTTACATACTCATATGCATAGCCCATGGACACAGAGGATAATGTGGCGAAAACCTGGCATGGAGTAGGGGCTCAGTGAAGGGGGGAAAAAGGGGGGGATTGGGGGACATCTATAATACTGTCAGCAATAAAAATATATACATTAAAAAATATATAAATAAAAATACACTAGAATCACCAACAAATGATATGACCAAGCTTAAGAACCAAAAAACTTGTACATAGTTCATTAAAAATTTTGATACAGGGCCCTGGCCTGTGTGGCTCAGTTGGTTGGAGTATCATCCTGTACACCAAAAGGTTGCGGGTTCGATTCCCAGTCAGAGAACATGCTCAGGTTTCCAGTTCAATTCATGGTCTGGGCACATGCGAGAGGCAACCGATCGATGTTCCAGTCTCACATCGATTTTTCTCTCTCTCTCTCTCTGAAATCAATTAAATAAATAAATAAATAAAATAAAAAGACAGCTCCTCTAGGATTATCAATGGGTTTCTTAGCAGAAACCTTATGGGGGGAAAAAAGGAGCATGAAATAAAATGCTGAACTTATAAAAGAGTAAGAACTATCCAACAAGAATACTGTGTCTGATAAGACAAGGTATCAACAATGAAGAAAAAAAGGCTTTTCCAGCTCGAAAACACTGAAGACTTTCTCACCATTAAACCTGCCTTATGCAAAATGCTTAAGAAAATCCTTCTAGAGGTAATAAAAATATTCTAAACAACACTCATTTTTAGAAATACTGTTTTGGATATGTCTTTCTAGGCATAAGAAAGAAGTAAAATAAATAAATAAACATACAAGACTACGACAAAATAAGTTTATGCAAAGGAAACCATTAAAAAACAAACAAACAAACAAAAACCTATTGTCTGGCTTCAGGGCAAATGCCGCAGGGGCAGCTTTCTTCCAGACAGACGTGCTGGCAGAGTCCACTGTTCCTTTGAGCCCTCTCCTCAGTAGAGCGAGAGGGCGGGTGCGATATCCAAGTCTCCACCAACCTGATGATCACTGTAGCCCTTCCTGGTGATTTCTTGAGACCTCATCCCACTCAGCTTGAGAGCCCACCCACGCTGTTTCCAGTGGCATTTCCATACAAACGGCCTCTCTTGCCTCACACTTTAGTTTCCTAAAATCTCTCAAAACAAAACACATCTGGTCTATACATGCTCCATACCTCTCATTAAGTGTCCTGCCTCTCCTTTTCTGTCTCAAAAAATAAACAAAAAATCTTAAAAAAAGGGAAGAACATTAGAAAATGTCATATCAGCACATCTGAAACTGAAAGCAGAAATGTGACAAAGATCTAATCAGAAAGTGAATACACATATGACACAGTGTCACCTGCTTCCCCATTTCCACCTACCTGGATGGATGGATATTGTCTTTTTTCCATTCACATCCCAGGACTCCTTCATTTGCTCCATAAAGGAGACCTGGACTGGCTTAGAGACAGCAGGACCTGTTTATCAGAAAAAAGAACGTGAGTTTTTGTTTGTTTTGTTTTTGTTACTCCTCACTTGAGGATATTTTTTCCACTGATTTTTTAGACACAGTGGAAGGGGGGAAGAGAGCCAGAGAGAGAGAAACATCAATGTGAGAGAGACACATCAATTGGTTGCCTTCCACAAGGACCCCAGCTGGGGCTGGGGATCGAGCCTGCAACAGAGGTCCATGCCCTTGGCCAGAATAGAACCCGAGACACTTCAGTCTGCAGGCCGATGCTCTAACCACTGAGCCAAACCCGCCAGGGCAAGAACATGAGTTTTGATATTCTCCCATTTCCAATCCAGTTAGCACTTAGGTGAGAAGATGTGGTAGAATATTAGAATATTCTACAAAATGATTTTCCAAAACACTATTTTCTGATAGCACCTTAATTATTCTAGACAACACGTAAAGTTTTCAGACACTGGGTTCCTATTTCACGTATATCACAAGATGTTCCCCAATTTGTTCCCTGAGAGCAGGGATCTGAAAGTCTACCATACAAAGCAAAAGCTCCCAGGAGATGTTATCCTAATGAAGGAAAAAACCTGCTTGTAGAGAATGAACTCTGGAAGGAAGTCATCCTCACCCAGGGAGACCAGGTTGCTGTAGTTCTCCAACATCACATCCACGTACAGTGTTCGCTGCGCTGGGCACAGGCATTCCCACTCCTCCTGAGAGAAATCTATGGCCACATCCCTGAAGGTCAGTGGTCCCTAAAAGAAAGGACACATTTACCAAGTGGCCACAGGCAGAGTTCATAATGTCCCCGGGTTGGGACACATACAGAAGGCAACCGATCAATGTTTGTCTCTCACATCAATGTTTCTCTCTCTCTGTTTCCAGTAGCTGAAGGTCATTAATTCAAGGTAGGAATTCTCGCTTCCTCTCTCTAAGCATGTCCTCAGGCGAGGATTAAAAAACAATAACAAAAACATTAGCTTTTGCAAATGTCAATCCACACATACCTCCCACGCTCTGCAACTCTAATAGTGCATTTAAACAGCAAGTCTGCTTTCCAATCTAGGGAGCAAGTCTCTTCTAACTACTCTTCTTTGTCAGAACTTTCTGAGCTATTCTTACACTAATGCGTCCTGGTTAAACATGCATTTTCTTACTCCTGATCAACAGGGCTGATGCTGCAGCCACATGCACCTAACACCTACATTTCCCTTCTTCACAGACACCCAGGCCTCCGACCCCCTCCCCATAGGGATGTTAGACATGGGTGCCTTCCCAGGTTGATCTGTCACAAAGGGCACGTTTCCAGTAGCTGAAGGTCATTAATTCAAGGTAGGAATTCTTCATGCCCTCAGAGAGCCTGGACAGAGAGACTGCAGAGAAGGCTCTGGGACAAGGGAGAGAATCATTCTAAAGAACTGACCTAGACAATGACAAGAACATAAGGAAAAAAATGAGTAGCTGAAAACAACCTCACTAGGCAGGAAAAGCAGAAGTAGGGGATTAAAAGTGGCAGGTTCTAAATCTAAATGTTAGGAGGAAAAGCAGACACAGCCTGTGACCCCGGACATAGCATTTACCTGAGAAGTAGCCATGTCGTCCTGGTCCAGCTCCTCTCTGGATTGTTTTTTCAGGTGATGATACGTTGAGGAGTCACATCTATATCTCGAGAATGTGCCTTCGAAGCATCAGCACAGCCCCTTCATCTGCTTCCAGCACAGATAGTCAGAAAGACCTGGAAATGCTGAAAGGGCCACCCTCTCCTGTCCTTTGTCATAGGAAAGATTCAGGAACAATGAGCTCCTATGTGGAGACCAAGCTGTGAGGTTTTTTCTTCTGTCTTCATGTGTCTCTCCTCCCATAGAGGTGCACAAATTCCTACAGCAGTGAGAATGTGCGCTGCTCTCCTAACCCCCAAGCCCAGCAGAGCACCGTTACCTCTGGTGAACAAAGTCTGCTCCCCACTCTCACAAATGCATCCTGGAACCCTCCTGCTAATCCCTGGGCTCACCTTTTAATCTCCTGGAGCACCTCAGTAAACAATGATGCCCCACCCAGAGCAGCTGTCCCACTCTATGGGGAAAAGGGCACCTGATGTCATTTCTTAAAACTCCTCAGTTGATCTGAGAAGGACCCAGAAGGGAACAGTTTAGCTTTAAGAACCATGTAGATCCTTGGGGATCAGGGCCCCACTCTAAGTTATGGTTCTGCAGGTCTGCAGTGGGTTCTGCTTGTTCCTCCACCATGAAATGACAAGTGAGGGCTCCCCATAGGGTTAGACCACAGGAGTTACAATGACAAGTCACAGTGACATGAAGTACACTCTTTAAAAATAGCTTCCTTCAGAAATGAAATGACCATCCAGAGAGAGATCGGCAACGCCACATTCCTGCAGCATTAGTCACCATAGCCAAGACTGATACAACCTAAGTGTCCACCACTGGACGAATAAAGAAAAAAATGGGTATATATGTAAATATACATACCTATAAATATATACTTTTACCTATAAGTATAGCTGCCAGATTTAATTTTTAAAATTTTTATTTATTGACTTTAGAGACAAAGGGAGAGAGAGAAACATCGATTTGTCATTCCACTCGTTTATGCATTCACTGTTTGATTCTTGTATGTGCCCTGATGGGTTCAAACCTGCAATCTTGGCATATAGAGACAATGTTCTAACCAACTGAGCTAAAGGGCTGGGGCAGGTGCTTGATTTTAAATTTCCACATGTACACAGGGTGGGACAAAAGGAGGTTTACAGTTGTTTGTATGCAAAAAGTATGCAGGTTGTGATTAGTACAATAGCTTTATTAACTCTTGTGTTTTGTGTACTTACAACTGCAAACCTACTTTTGCCCCACTCTGCATGGTATACTATATATATGTAGATAAGGAATAGTATGTGTATATATATATGGAATACTATATAAATATCCATATACTGCATATGGAATATTACGTATATATGGAATACTACTTTACATAGAATATACTATATATAGTATAATATAGAATACTATGTACATACATATGAAACTGAGCAATAAAAAGAAGTCCTGTTGGTTGCATCATCTGAATGGACCTTGAGGGCATTACGCTAAGTGAAGCCGGACAGAGAGACACATACTACATGATCTCACTTATATATAAAAATCTAAAACGCAATCTCAGAAAGTGATGGGATTTGCGGTTGTCTCATGCGGGGTACAGGAGGCCATTGGGTGATGGTGGTCAAGATGCAATAACTGCCCGGCCGGGGGGCTCTGTTGGGCGATCCTCCTGCGAGGGCCGGGGCGCCACAGGTCTGATTCCCGGCCGGGCACACGCCGCCTGGGCCGTGGGCTCAACGCCCGGTGCGGGGCGCGCGGGAGGTGGCCGATCAATGTTTCCCTCTCCCTCTCTCCTTCTCCCTTCCTCTCTGTCTAAAAGTCAATGAAAACATGTTAAAAAGAAAGAAAGAAAGAAGGAAAGAAGTTCCTGGGATGTAAAGTGCAGCACGATGACAACTGGGCTCCTCCTGGGATTCGAACGTCTCATGAGTGGGGGAGGGGTCCTCAGGGCGGCGGGGGGTCTGCAGGTCCCCGGGCCCGGGAGCCATCCGGGGTCTTCGGGCCACGAGCGGCGAGGCGGGGGCAGCGGCGCAAAGGGTTTGGCTCCGTC